AAAGGCAGAATATGAATTAAATAGAATAGAATAGAATTCTTTAATTGGCCAAGTGTGATTGGACACACAAGGAATTTGTCTGTGGTGCAGAGGCTCTCAGTGTACATAAAAAGACAAGATACATTCATCAAGAATCCTAAGGTATAACACTTAATGATAGTCATAGGGTACAAATAAGCAATCAGGAAACAATCAATACCAATATAAATTGATACAAGCAACAAAGCTACAAGTATAAGTGGGAGGAAATGGGTGATAAGAATGATGAGAAGACTAATAGTAATAGTAATGCAGCCTTAGTGAATGGTTTGACAGTCGTGAGGGAATTTTTTGATTAGCAGAGTGATGGCATTCGGGGAAAAACTTTGTCTCTAGTTGTTCTGGTGTGCAGTGCCCTATAGCGTCATTTTGAGGGTAGGTGTTGAAACAATTTATGTCCAGGATGCGAGGGGTCTGTAGCTATTTTCACAGCCCTCTTTTTGACTCGTGCAGTGTACAGGTCCTCAATGGAAGGCAGGTTGGTAGCCATTGTTTTTTCTGTGGTTCTAATTATTCCTCGAAGTCTGTGTCTGTCTTGTTGGTTTGCAGAACCAAACAAGGCAGTGTTGAGGTGCAGATGACGGACTCAATAATTCCTCTGTAGAACTGAATCAGCAGCTCCTTGGGCATGAATGAATTCAAAATGAAAACAAAAATCAAAATCCATCAATGGGCTTAGAATTAGGTTCCTGGAAAAAAATTTAGACTGCAATGGTGCTTTCCAGATGTTTTGGAGTGCCAATTCTCAGAATCGCACAGAAAACTTTCCTTGAACTTGAGAACTCGTCTGAAGGTGTAATGGACAAGTTTTATATTAGGACATCTGGTAAAATGAGATTTTTATTTTTTATTTTTACCCCCCCCCCCTTTCTAGGAACCGATGAGTCTCCTGAACCACTGCCCATTCCAACCTTCTTGTTGGGGCACGATTATGACTTCTTGGTGCTGTCGCCTTTTGCCTTACCATATTGGGAGAGGCTAATGCTGGAGCCCTACGGATCTCAGAGGGACATCGCCTACGTGGTGGTGTGTCCGGAGAACGAAGCGCTGCTGAACGGAGCAAAGAACTTCTTTCGAGACCTCACTGCAGTATACGAGGTGAGGAATTTAAGGGCACGGGAGTTCCAGGGCCCCTCTCCCACCCCCCCTACCCCAAATGAACATCCATCAACCCCTGCATTCCAGCTGTCAGCGGAAAAGTCCTGCAGGGCCCTCTCTGAACAAAGCAACTAAAATGGATGGCCGAGGAAGATAAAAAGCTGCATCTTACGGAGGTGCCATCCTGTGGCTGCATTTTGTACTGCCCTCCTGCGGTACGGCTACAGACCTTGTAATTTGGGGGATGCTGAACTCTTTGTCTTTTCCAGAAGGCCCAGATGGCATGACTTCCTTAAATATATACTGGTAGTCCTCGACTTAACAACAGTTACTTTAGTGACCATTCAAAGTTACAACGGCAATGAAAAAATGTGACTTTTCTGACCGTTTCCCACACTTACACAACCATTGAAGCATCCCCATGGTTAGGTGATCAAAATTCAGACACTCGGCAACTGGTTCATATTTATGACGGTTGCAGTCTGTGATCCCCGTTTGTGCACCTTCTGACACACAAAGTCAGTGGGGAAGCCAGACTTACCTAACAATAATAATTCATTTAACAACTGTGACAAAGGTCATAGATGAGGCAGAAAGTACTTAAAGTCTTGCTTAGCAACATAAATTTTGGGTTCAATTGTGATAGTAAATCGAGGACTGCCTGTCTTTTAAAATGTTTTGAGCCTCCCTCCCTGTTAGTTTCTCTTCCAGGTTACAGTGTTATTCCCAAGTTTATTAAGGATGGGAGGGGAAAGTAGTTTGATTTGACCTTGTTTTACAGTGGTTTTCCCCAGACACTCTTACCTGTCACATTAAATAGCTTCTTGACGGTTGAAATCACACAGCTTCTTAATTCAGGGCCCAAATTAACCTGTTTCCTGGGGTTTGCCATACATGGTGGATTATTAACTAGACAGACAGACTGAATTTGTAAATATCATGTGACAACGAAACAAACCAACTCAGTTAAACAAGCATAATAATAGGGTGCCCATGGAACTCCCCAGATCCTGAAGTGAACTGGTCAAGTACATTGTGTGAATCCGGCCAATGTTTAAAATGGAAAAGTTTCTAGCTTGCAAAAAAAAAAAAAAAAAGGCATGAGATACACTTTGATGTACATTATGCAATAATAGGTCTTTCAAAGTAAATTATCCATCGTGCATGCATTCAAAATGTGAAAGTTTTACATACTGATACCACAAGAGGCAAAATATAGAGTATACCACATCTTATTCTGTAAATGTGCCACCTCTTTAAAGACAATCACTTTCACTAGTCTTAACGTCGTTCTGTCAACTCTCCTGAGTCAACCAACCCGGAAACATGGCAAAATGAACTAATCAACTAATTCTAGTTTATTGTAAGCCTACATTACGGATAACCTTAACTATTGACTTAATGACCACAATGATGGCCAAAATGACCATTTTACGGCCTTTGGGGGGGGAGGGCACGATCGCCAAGCAAATCACTGCAGTTGTAAAGTGAATCATGTGTTCATTAGACTTTTTCTAACGTTGTTAGTTGCGAAGTCGTGTCCAACCCATCGCAACCCCATGGACAACATTCCTCCAGGCGTTCCTGTCCTCTACCATCCTCTGGAGTCCATTTAAATTCCCTTCTACTGCTTCGGTGATTCCATCCAGCCTCCTCATTCTCTGCCGTCCCCTTCTTCTTTTGTCCTCCATCTTTCATCATCCAGCATGAGGCTCTTCTCCAGGGAGTCCTTCCTTCTCGTTCGGTGGCCAAAGTCTTTGAATTTCCTCTTCTGGATCTGGCCTTCTAAAGAGCAGCCAGGGTGGATCTCCTCTAGGACTGACCGGTTGGATGGCCTTGCAGTCCAAGGGACTCAATACAGGATTCTTCTTCTCCAGCACCAGAGTTCAAAGGACTCCATTCTTTGGCATTCCTTGTGGTCCAACATTCAAAGCCATCCATTGCAACTGGGAAAACACTTTTGTTGCCTTTTGTTCTAACCTACCCTAGAACTAAATTATACCCTCCCAAGGGGACATTCAGTCCAAGAGAGCTGGACTCTGTCTATTCAGATTCACATTTATTTACCACGCCCAGTAATGAAGAGCAAAATGGACAAAGTAATCAAATATAATTTGAGGGTGAGCAAAAAAGCCTTTTGCATCTAAGGCTGCAATTTTTCCACCTAAATTACTACCATGGAACGTGATGCAAAGGTTTGCTCAAAAGCAGGTAAACAAAGAACGGCGTTCAGCGGCTGCCAAAGTAAACTACAGAGTAAATTCTAAAGTACTTTTAAATTCACCTCTCTTGCTTGATTGCCCACCTGCGTTCCAACTTTTGGCGTTGTTTGACGAGAACAGTAAAGGACCCAACATTTGGGGAAGGCTTATTTAATAAAAAGGGCACTTGTTTCTCTTTACCAGCACAGATAGTCCTCGACTTACAACAGTTCATTTAGTGACTGTTCGATGTTACAAAACAGACAGCCCTGAAAAAAAGTGACTTATAGCCGTTTTTCACACTTACGACCATCGCAGCATCCCTGTGGTCACGTGACTCATATTCAGATGCTTGACAACTGACTCACACTTAGGATGTGAAGCAGTCCTCGATTTACAACAGTTCATTTAGGGGCTGTTCAAAGTTACAGCGGCAATGAAAAAAGTGACCGATGAGCATTTTCACACTTATGGCCATTGCTGCATCCTCATGGTCACGTGAACAAAATTCAGACACCTATTTATGGCGGTTGCAGTGTTCCGGGTTCACCTTTTGCGACCTTCTGACAAGCAAAGTCAATGGGGAAGCTGTATTCACTCAACAACTACGTTACTAACTTAACAACTGCAGTGATTCACTTAGCAAATGTGACAAGGAAAGTCGTAACAGAGGGCAAATTTCTCACTTAGCAACCTAGATTTTGGGCTTAGCTGTGGTCGTAAGTCAAGGACTATCTGTAGCCCTGGACTTACGGCTGGTCGCTTAGCAACCAATCAAAGTTATGGCTACTTACAACCCAGATTTGAAGTTCCAATAATACAATAATACAATACAATAATACAATGTCTCTCCCATTCCTCCAGTCATGTGACCGAACTTCAGGCACTTGGCAACATGGCCACATTTGTGGCCATTTGCAGTGTCCTGTCACGTGACCACATGTTCCACCTCCCAACCCCACATTTCCTTTTTTTTTTTTTTTGCAAAACTGTGTGCCTAAAGAGCCATTGGCTCATGTAAAAAACACAGATTAATTTACCGTATTTTTCGGAGTATAACACGGACCTTTTTCCCTCAAAAAAGAGGCTGATAATCTGGGTGCGTCTTATACACTGAATACAGCATTTTTTGCCTGCGAAAACCCTGCCCCCTTCACCAAAATGGCCGTGCAGACCTTGTAGAAGGCTTTCAGAGTGTTCCTGGAGGCTTGGGAGGGCCGGGTTTTTTGCTCAATTCCCCCCCCNCCGACTCTAGGGGGCGGTGCTCATCTCTGTTTCAAAGCCGAAGAGCCAGCGCTGTCCAAAGACGTCTCCATGGTCATGTGGCCGGCATGACTAAACGTCGAAGTTACCCGGAACGCTGTTCCCTTCCCACCAAAGGTGGTTCCTATTTTTTCTACTTGCATTTTTTTACGTGTTTTCGAATTGCTAGGTTGACAGAAGCTGGGACAACTAACGGGAGCTCACTTCGTTAGCAGGAGTAGCACTAGGGATTCGAACTGCCGACCTTTCTGATCGACAAGCTCAGTGTCTCTAGCCACTGAGCCCCCACGTCCATTTTTGTGACCTTTTGACAAGATTCACTTAACGATCGTGTGACTAACTTAATACATGAAGTGATTCGTTTAACAACTGTGGCAAGAAATGTTACAACATGGGGCAAAACTCACTTAAGTGCCTCGCTTAAACAATAGAAATTTGGGGCTCAGTTGTGGTTGTAAGTCAAGGACTACCTGTAGATCTTTAAGGAACTCGTCAGAACTTAGTTTGCATAGATCAGGGGTGAGCAATTGTGGCAACTTTATGACCTGTGGACTTCAACTCCCAGAATTCCTGAGCCGGTATGGCTGGCTCAGGAATTCTGGGAGTTGAAGTTTCCAGGCTATAAAGTTATCAGAGTTGCCCTAGTATAGATTCCTATGAGCACAGTCTGAATAAAGTACTAAATTTTTAGCCGTTATTGCTCCAAATTGATATAAGCTTTACAGTACAAAATGTGCTATGTTAGAGAGAGCAATCCTTGCCCTCTCCACTCAACAGCCAAGGGGAAGTTATGATTTTTTTTTCTTAATTTGTAAGAATTTTTTTCTCACGAGAGAGCAGGCTTGCAGTAGAGATCCTCATTTGATCATGGAAATTTCCACAGGGATGTTTTGTAATTTATCGGGGATAAAGTCTTGGATTTTTCTGGCTTAGATATTTTTCTCCCTGTTCCAACTTGTGGAAACAAGAAGGTCATCACTTAAAAGGCCGCACTCGGTGTCATCAGAGTGTGTTAGCTTTAAATAGATTGAGGAGGGATAAAATAACCCTCTACAGGTATCTGAACACACACACAAAAGGCCAGGATCTGATTCCTGTAATTCCTATAATTCTACATGGTTTATGTTATAGGAAGGCCAGTTCCTCTTGAATCTCCAGAAAGAAAATGACTGACAAGAATTATTTGATAGTGAACAGTCCCTGAGATGTTGAGCTCTAAATTTCCTTCCTTCCTTCCTTCCTTCCTTCCTTCCTTCCTTNGCTATGCATGCAATTTTTTTTGACAAAAAGGGCTGTTTTTTGCTCGTTTTTGGAGGCCCCCACCCCCCAGGAACACTCTACAAGCCTCCTAAAGGCTATTCGTGCCTTTAAAAAAATTAAAAAATATATTTTGGGAGGTTTGCAGAGTGCAAAAACTTTTTTTATTAATTTCCTCTTCAAAACTTTGGTGCGTCTTATATTCCGGTGCATCTTATACTCCAGTGTGTCTTATACTCTGAAAAATACGGTAATTGTGGTGATTTGCCAATGACCACTGCAAGAAAGATTCTAAAATTTACAACTCTCATGACTTACGACCGGCATGGGCTGGCTCCATTAGGGTCATAACTCCCTGCATTCTTTATTCCCCAGCATATGCTCTTTAAGATGGGTTAGGAGAGGGGTGAGAAACCTTTGACCCGAGGGCCGGATACGTCACATGCTGGCCCCGCCCACCCCCATTTTAGCACGGGGGGGGGAAGTCATGATAGGTCATGTGACAACAATGTGACGCCGTGAGTTTGACGCCTCTGGGTTAGGGTAACCTTGGTGCAGCCGGTTGGGTTTTTGAGTCCGTTGGGCAAGGATCCATCAACCAGTGCTTCGGATTCACTGTGCTTCCCTCCTGGCGTCTCTTCTTTTGCAGTCCTGCAAACTCGGCTTGCATCGGCCCATCTGCAAAGTCTTGCCCGACGGGATCATGCGAGTGGGATCCACTGCTTCAAACAAACTCTCTGAGAAGTCGGTGGCTGAGTGGTTCTCGCAGACGGCTCACGCCAACAAGGAATCGTTTTCCAGGCTCAAACTCTACGCTCAAGTCTGCAGATACGATCTGGGTATGGTTTCTATCCCACTCACCCACCCACCAATCCTCCATTTCCTCCCCCCCCTTAAAGTTTGCAAAAATAATAAATAAATACAAGTACTTGGAACAACGTTGAACATTTTTACGATGCTGGCATTCGAAAGTGGCAAACTCATCCCTGCCCTTGGCTGTGCAGACTATCACTCTGATATCTTGGGCAATTATCCTGTGTGCTGCTTGGAGAGTCCAAGCATAGGTTCAACTTCTGTTTGTCTGCCCGTTGACTGAGTTATTTTAGAATCTTTAGCCACGGCTCCTAGGCTTGACTGCCTTCAGTTTCTCAACTCAGTCAAGCCCATCAGGTGTGACTTTGACTCTCTCCTCAATTGCTGAGGAGAGAAAGAGAAATTGTACCTTAAATTGGATCTTTCAGCAGCAGCAGCTTCACAAAACTTCAAAGGCTAGTAGCAGTTCTGAATTGTCAAATTGTTTCACACTGGCTACGAGCAACAGTGGCTCGTTCGGAGGCCTAACCAGGCCGCCATGCGTACAGACTATGCCTCCGATATCTTGAGCAAATTTATTCATGTTTATTTGACACACACCTCCTGCGTGTGGCTTGATCACCGCTGTTATTGAGACTAGGCTGCTAGTCGGACGTGGGGTAAAAAAACCCTGCATTGCCATCTTGTGTCCAGTACACAGGGTCCGAGAGCGATATTTTGCTGCAGCCCCAAAAGTTGACAAGTCCTTTTGGTTTCCAGTTCCTTGTCTGTTTCCACACCGCACACACCCCGCCCCATGTCCTGCATATTTGCCACAAAAATGCAAAGCTTTGCAGAGCATTTGGGGTTGTGTACTAAGGTGTTCGGGTCATAGTAGCTCATGGGGAACACTGGGAGGTGCAGAGTGGTTTCCAGCTCACAATTGCAGGTGGAAAAATGGACGGGGTAAGGTAACCTGTCCTTCAGGAAAATGTCTCTGCTTTGGAGATTGACTTATCTTTCCTGCGAACTAAAATTTTCGAGCACTCTCAGCTGAATGGATGCTTCGTTTAAATCAGGGGTCTGCAAACCTCGGCAACATTAAGATTTGTGGATTTCCACTCCCAGAATTTAAGACTTGTGGACTTCCACTCCCAGAATTCCCCAGACAGCGCCGTCTGGGGAATTCTGGGAGTGGAAGTCCACAAGTCTTAAAAGTTGCCGAGGTTTGCAGACCCCCTGGTTTAAATAAATAGCAATGATACCAGAAGGCGTCCGGTTGAATCAGCAAAAATAAAGCCACTGATTTCTAGGTCCCAAAGGTACTTTTTCCAGCTGGACTTTCTTGTTTCTCCCCCTCTCTCTTTGAAAACACTTCACTTCTCATCCCAGAAGAAACTTCATTCAGAAAAAAACAACCTCCAATTCCCTTTTGGAAAAAACCAGTTTTGGGACCTAGAAAGCAGTTGAATTTTGCTGATTCAACTGGACCTCTTGAAATATCAATTTTTTTGGAGTATAAGACACATCTTTTTCCCCCAAAAAAGAGGGTGGAAATCTGGGTATGTCTTATATACTGCATACAGTATTTTTTGCCTCCCGAAACTCCGCCCCCTTTGCAAAAATAGCCGTGCATAGCCTTTAGGAGGCTTCCAGAGTGCTTCTGGGGGCTGGGGAGGGCACAAATGAGCGAAAAACAGACTGTTTTTTGCTTGCTTTCGTCCCTCCCCAGCCCCCAAGGGCACTTTATAAGCCTCCTAAAGGCTATGCACCGCCATTTTTGCATGCCCCCCTTTTTTTGACAAAAACCAGCCTGTTTTCGCAACAAACGGTCCATTTTGGGAGGTCTGCAGAGTGCAAAACCTTTTTTTTATTATTATTTGCCTCTTCAAAATCTTGGTGCGTCTCATATTTTGGTGCATCTTATACTCCGAAAAATATGATATGTTCTTCGGAAGCGAAACATTTTCAAGGAAAAAACCGCAAGAAAAAAAAACCAGTTGCCTTTTGGAAAGGGGGGGGGGGAAAGCACCTTTGGGACAACCACGACCTGGTTGATTTAAGAATCTCCGTAGACATTGATTTCTATGTGCCTTTTTCTGTTTCAAGGTCCTTATCTTGCTACACAGCCATTGGACAATTCCTTGCTTTCCCAGTCCAACCTCGCTCCTCCCACCAGCCATCCTGCTTCCATCCAGCCTCAGGTTGCAGGCAGCTGCACTCCATCCTCCACCTCCAGTAATGCTGCTGTCCCGATGAATTCGAGCAGCGCCATCACCTCCGCTACCACCACTGCCAGCTCCACCTTGACCACAACCGCTGCTTCATCCTCTTCTTCCAGCCTGGGCAGCGCGATGCCAGCCAGCAAGGCCTCTTCGTTTCCACCTTTCGGCAACATGAACAATGCAGCCCCTTCCTCCCTTTCCACGCAGAGCACGGCCGTCCAGAATGGGCAGGCAGGGATACAGCACCCGCAGCAAACAGCAGGGATAACCGGGGAGGTCTTACCTGCCCCGACGCAGCCGCATCCGGAGGTTTCCGAAAGGTAACGTTTTTATTATTCCAACTGGCTCTGGTGAACAGGTAGTCCTCGACCTACGTCAATTCCTTTTGTGGCCGTTCCAAGTTGCAACACGGAATGGGACCATCCGTCACAGCCAACTCGCTGCGGGACAACTCGCTGCCGCCATCTTGCCATGAAGCAACTCGATGCGGGGCAATTTTAATCATTCTATTTTATTATTTAAAATAAATAAAAAGCTGTTTTCAATTTTGCTATTTGCATTTCATTCTGTCCCTCCTTTTTCATTCTTTCATTAATTATTCTATTTCACCATTTCTTGATATTAGTGTAATGCTTGTTCTGCAGCGAGTTGTCCCACAGCAAATTGGCCATGATGAGTTATCCCATGGCAAGTTGGCTGTGGTGAGTTGGCTGTGGCAAGTTGGCTGTGGCAAGCAATTTGGCCATGGTGAGTTGTCCCATGGGAAGTTGGCTGTGGTGAGTTGGCCCATGGGAAATTGGCCATGGTGAGTTGTCCCATGGGAAGTTGGCTGTGGTGAGTTGGCCCATAGTGAATTGGCCCATGGGAAGTTGGCTGTGGTAAGTTGGCTGTGGCAAGTTGGCTATAGCAAGCAAGTTGGCTGTGGCAAGCAATTTGGCCATGGTGAGTTGTCCCATGGGAAGTTGGCTGTGGTGAGTTGGCCCATGGGAAATTGGCCATGGTGAGTTGTCCCATGGCGAGTTGGCTGCGGTGAGTTGGCCCATGGGAAGTTGGCTGTGGTGAGTTGGCCCATGGGAAGTTGGCTGTGGTGAGTTGGCCCATGGGAAGTTGGCTGTGGTGAGTTGGCTATAGTGAGTTGGCCCATGGGAAG